GTCGAAGTTTTTTAAGGTTGGTGGATGTTTTTGGAGGTGTTGGAAGTTGTTATTATTATGAGGTGGGGGAGGTGGGTAGTGGTGATGGAGGTGGTAGAGGTGTTAGAGGTGGTAGAAGTGGTGGTAGAAGTGGTAGAGGTGGTGATAGAGGTGGTGGTAGAGGTGGTAGAGGTGGTGAAGAAGATTAAAGAAAGGAGGGGTAAAATACTTAGATAGTTAGTAGGAAACTAGTTATTACAGTACTACGTAATACTAGTAGATTAATAGAAGTAGAAATAAAAGTAGTTTACTTTTATAGGATACATAGTATAATAAACCCTATTTAGGTTTACTTCTTCTACCTAAACCACTTCTTAGTCTACTTTAGATAAATATGGCTACTGTAAACCGGTTTTGTACCGTAGTGTACGTGATACCCTCGTGATGCCCTCGTGAACCCATCACAACCACCAATCACACACCCTCCCACTACACCAATCTGCTCCTAAAACAGAGCCCCTTCAAGACCATGACCAGCTCTTTCCCTCCATAGCCCCTACTACCAAGCATACCCAAGAACCCTAATCATCAGGGTTCTGGAAGTGTGTAGTTTTGTCGGAGACATGTTGCATGTATACATATTACTAATGCACGACCATCGTTACGTGTTTACCTCCTTGCATTTTGCATTTCTCGTTGATAAGCACAAAGCTTTTACTGTATGTATACACGTCATTCTTGATGTTGCACCCCGTGGCCCATATTCCATGACCCTTGACTGATCACCAGACAGACGAGCGCTATTCTACCTCGACATCCGGTTTATAATTAGGACAGTCCTGGGAACCAGCAAGCAGCAGTTTCTCTCTTTCAATAGCCACCATCATCATCGCAAAGACTGAGATGAAAACATCAACCTGAAAACAAGAAAAGGCAGGCAAGGGCTACCATGCTGAACGAGATATGGTACTGAGTCAAATTGTCGCGATACGGGCGTCCTAATCGTACATCTCACGTCGCTGGATCTAGAGATGCGCAAGGCGGTACATTGTGTATAGATGTGGGTGGTGCATGGGCCGCTAGGAGGGACAGTGTTGACAGGATGTGACAACACAGCCAAAAATACAACAAAAATGTTTCAAAATGGGTTTCAGAACAAGCCCTGGAAGCGAGATGCAGATGAGCCGTCTGGAAAGGGTACTGTACAAGTACGCAGTACGAAGGCACTCGAGTCCCTAGAATCAACCCTCCACCTCCGCAACAAATCTTCAACGATACAGCACGATTCATAACTGACGAGGTGAGGCAGTCATGTCATGTCAGACTCCAAGGAACTCTCCAACCCCATATCCCGAATCCAAAACTCACACAAAACCCCACCAGTCCGCGCTCACACAGCTGACCCCTCATGAGGCAGAGTCAGTACCTATAGGAAGTACAGTACCTTGCAGTAGATAAGTACAGTAGGCATCCCTGCGCCCCACGCGTTCCCCCAGCACTCCCATCCCCCAACCCGCGGGCCAAGCAAAGTAGCTTACCTGAGCAAATACGATACGAGGCCAGGGCTCTTGCTAAGCGAACAAGGAGTTCCAGCCACGTCCACAGTTCCGGGAGGAATTTATGGCATCCAAAGATACGAGACGGAAAGACTAGATGGAACGCGTGTTACATGTGAGATCGACGCGTGGCCAAGGAAAGTGGCCGTGCGCGTGGGCGTTGGAGAGGAACCACTTAGACTAATATCTGGGGTGATCTGCGTTGCTTTCTTTGGACGTTGCTGGATGTGGTGAGAGATGCACAATGGTGAGAAGTGTAGTATGCTAGGTACCTTATGTTCAGAGTGTGGACTGGTGGTAATAAGGGTCCATCAAATGCTCACTCATCGCAGACCCACACTAAGTCCAAATCGGGATGACCCCTGAAGAGCGAAATGTGCACAGTGGCAGCCTCGCGAGACACAACTGCAACGCAGATCTCCATGTGGCTTGTCCTGGCCATTCCGCCATTCGGGCCCTCTTGCAATCTTCAAGTACAGTACGGAGGTGGCTTTCAAAAGTTCTTGCTAGCGTATTTGTTAGCGGCTAATCTATTGGCCCAACTTTCTTGGCCCACACACACTTAATTTTAAAGCTATAGATAGTAGTAGTAATAGTCTATCTACTTAATCCTTTAGTGTTTATACTCTACTATAGCTCCTAATACTAATCCCTATACCTGTGCGCTTATTATAACTCTAAAGTTACCTTTTAGTAGCAAATCTACTACCTAAATTAGTGCTATTATAGGTATTTTACTACGCACTATTAACTTAATCTATAGTAGAGCCTACTAACGTGGCTTTAAGCTAAATTCACCTATAATAAAACTCCTTCCTAAATACCTTAAAGACGCCCTGTTGCAGGAGGGATATCAACCGGATCACGGAGCATCTTGATCCGATTAATCCCGATCAATACCCCTGTATAACCCACTATCTAATCGACTGCCAGCTTACTGCCAAGTGCCTAATAAAAAGCAGGAGCTCTGGTAAGGAAGGTTTACTAATTATTCACCTTCTGGTAAGGGTAGCTGAAGCTCTATATATATAAGTCCGATCGTAGTAGATATAATCTAATAATCCATCTCCCAAATCATTCCTAACCTTAGTGATCCAAATTTCCACACGCCCCTTATACTAGCCGCCCTCGTAAGCAAGATACTATCTACAATGCTACTCTTTTACAAGTACGCTAAGATAGATATAGGAGAGAGAAGAGCTATACTAATATAGCTAGTAATCTTAGTCTTTATAGATATAATATATTATCTACTATAGTATAGAAATTTAGATCACTAAGGTTAGGAATAATTTAGGAGATAGATTATTAGATTATATCTACTACGATCAGACTTATATATATAGAGCTTTAGCTACCCTTACTAGAAGGTGAATAATTAGTAAACCTTCCTTACTAGAGCTCCTGCTTTTTGTTAGGCACTTAGTAGTAAGCTAGCAGTTAATTAGATAGTGGGTTATATAGGGGTATTAATTGGGATTAATTGGATTAATATGCTCTATAATCCAGTTAATATCCCTCCTGCAACATATAGTATAAAGAGTCCTAAAAGTAGCTAGATACTACAAGATAAAGCCTATAAGGAAGCCTAGGTTAACAAAGAAGATAAGACAGGACAGACTTAAGTAGTGTCTTGCCTATTAAGGCTAGACTCTAGAGGACTAGAAGAACGTTATCTAGTCTAATAAGACTTCTATCCTACTTAACTACTACTATAGTAGCTACTATATCTAGAGAAAACTGTAACAAGGTAGGCGCCCTGCCTATAAAATGAATACTACGTCATCTCCCCTGTCTGTACCAATTCGGCCATGGTCCAAAAGGTACGCACGAGAATACTTAAGCTAAGTAATCCTCGCATAGTATAATATATATATCTTAGCTAAACAGCCTAAGATAATAGTGCTAGACCCTAGCGCCAACCCATGAACCTTGTTTAAGTCTAGCCTAGGCATCTAGTAAGCGCTAGCTATTTTAGCCTAGCCTTGTTACAAAAACCTAATAAGGCTTTTGCTAAGACTATTATTTGTAAGTAGTAGAAGGGCTACTCTAAGTTTATATTCTAGGGCTACTTTTCTTATAATTATAAGGGCCTATACTACGTCTAGTGCCCTAAGACTATATAGGAGAAGAGAGAAGTAGCTCTAAAGATTAAAGAGATAAATAAGACTCTTAAGCCTATTATAAGACAGGAGTAGGAGCTTATTACTAGTATAAAGAGGATAGGATTAAGGAATAAACTAGGTAAGACTCTATAGTAGAAATAGAATAAAAAGAATAGCAAGCTCTCTTATAATAGTAGAGGAGGTATAGATTAGTAGCACTACTAGAGTTAAGTTCTAATCCCTAAGCTTATCCCCTTTACTAAAAAGTATAAGAAAGAGAGACTATATACTATAGTTTAAGAGGATAAAGCTCCTTTATATGCCTACTATACCTAATAACTAGTATATAAGAGAGAGGGAGTAAAGAAGCTTCTTTAGTATAGTAATTTACCTAACCTTAACGCTATTAAAGTAGCCTAGCTATAGCTTAAGCAGAGAACTACTAGGAAAGGCGCTCTTAAGAGTAGAGCAGAGGGTACAAAAGTATAGTTAAAGGCTTAGGATAAGCTACCTTAATACTAAATCTAGGCTTAGATAGAGCGTATATAGTATTATATTTAGCAGATTATTAGACTAGAAGGTAGTAATAAGTATAAGGAGGGGCGGCGCGATAGAACAGTCTAAGCTTTAGTGGTATCACGGCGGTAATATAGACACCCCTGTTAGCAAGAACTTTTAAAAGCCACCTCCGTACTGTACCATACTGTTGCTGAAGAACGGCAAGAACCCCCACAATTAGCCTCCCTTGTTCATTTCCGCCCTCTTGCTCGCCGTGTTTCTCACGACTTTTGTTGGGTGGGCGAGGTGGGTGATTTTTCGGACACGACAGAGGATTTATTGTGATCGGCGGGACTTGATAAGGGATAACGAGATTTTTCTTGTTTTTATCCCGTCGTCGTTGAAGCTTGGCTAGGTACTACTGTGTATATCTGTGTTGCTATTGTGGTGGATGGATGAAAGATGGATAGAAAGCTGTGTACATGGTTCACGCCCGCAATCTGTGAGATGTATCTGGCATCTGGCATTTGGCATATGGCATCACGCGTCCATCTCACATTCATGTGTCGCCTGCTTTATCCTATCTACCGGCTACACCTACCTAGTCCACTGAAATAATAAAACAATGAACTCTGAACACGGCGCAAAAGCAAAGCAAAACCACCCTTTCCATTCCTCACGCTTACCTACTATGTGCACAATCAGACTGTATCTATCCCACACACACACCGCATGAAACCATTCAAGCGTAAGCCAGGAATAAGAAACCACACACACAATGCACATTGACCTACCATCTACATGACACACCATCATACCACGCACCACACTGCATATCACGAATACAACACACCCGCCGCCCAATGTCTCTCCCGCGCCCGCTCGACAGTGCAGTAGGTACACAGTAAGCCTGCTCCGTCACCGGCAACAACGGCATGGCACCATGTCCACGAAAGCCAGTAAACCACCGAGCAAGTCGGACGCGACACGCCACGCCATGCTTCTGCCCGGGCAAAGTTGCACCGTGTGGGGCGTTGATCATGATCAACACTGTACATACAGTAGCTAGTGCTTTCGTGGTGGTACGGGCAGGCGGGTGGGGAGGCTCGTGAGGATCGAAAGAAGTCTTCTCGCTCGCCTTGGTTCTTTCCCGGGTGCTGATTTGTGCAAGGGTGGGTGGACAAACTTGTATGCGGCCAGAGTTCAAGTGTTTGTCTGATTGTGGGGAGAAGGGGGCTAAGAAAGGGTAGAGGTAGAGTCGTGCGTGACGTGGTATATATCATAGCTAGCTTTCCTAAATTACATTCTACGTTGGATGATGAACACACACTCTAGTTACTTAGTGACAGCGACGTGAATGTTGTTACTGTATGACGCTGAACAAGAAGCCTTGAAGGATAAAAATCCGACCAAGGGAAGAGCAGTGTGTGACGTTAGCCGGCACGCGAAACCTGAAGGTTGCTCTACCGGTATCCATCGCATTCGGTGCTACTCCTGAGCCGAATGAAAAATACGCTCCCAGCACTTAGAGTTCGGAAAAGCAAGAGTTTTTCCAAACTCTGTGTACCCAAATCATGTGCCAAAGGGAACGAACAGTAACGACACGACATCACAGCTTTTATGTTTTGAATTTAGTTTACATAGTAAAGTTAAGACGGAGCTCTCATAAGTTATCTCTATCTATCTAGAACAACAAGAAACTCTTTTCTCAGGGAGTGTCTTTTTTAAACGCACCAACTCTCTTTGAGCGCGCGTGCGCGGGACATTGTTCTTCATCTGCCTGAAACTGGATGCTGTAATGCTAAAAATGCTGCACGTGTGTATGTACTGTGTATTTAATGTTCTCAAGGAAAAAGAAAATATCGAATAAACGCCCTGAAATGCCAGACGAGGTTGTTGGTATCCGCGAAGCTGAAGCGAAAAAGGCGACAAAGGGAATCGTAAATCTGCAATGGAAGAATAATGTGCCAGCACGGAATGCAACGTGGCTAGATCTGGCAGGAACTTTTTTTTAGTGTTTTGCGGTTCCTACGGTACGCCTGTGTGGGTATGCTTCTGCATCGAAACACGTTCGCCTAAAGTCTTCTTCAGGCAGTGGTGCATCGGCGGAATCAAGCCATACCTGCCACACCGAGCTTTTCGTCCTCGTTCTTCTCGAACATGGCCTCTTCCAGCCATTTCGTGGCTTTTGCGCATTGCGAGTCGACGTAGGTGGTCCATAGGTGCGCAACTGTGTATTCGACAACAAAGAAGGTGGGGATAGCAAGAGCCCATACAAGCCAATTTGTTGACCGGGGAATGTAGTGGTGAATAGGCTCGCCGCCTTCAAGCTGTTCGACATAGTAAGGTGTCGTGCTCCATCCGTAAATGAGTCGTACAAGGCCGACTTTCATGACCGCTCCGTGGGTGAGGTAGACTGCAAAACTGTTGCGGCCAACCCACATGAAAAGTTTGTTGGAAAATATGCTCTGAAGGGTAGGAGAGAGCCAGATTCCAGTGACCATGAGATCCCAGCCAATGGCGGTGAAACGCTTCGGATAGCTATTTTCTGCTCCCTCTGGCATGATCCAGTCACCAATATTCTTTAGCTGGACAGACCAGGTTGCCCATTCCCAGTGTTCTCCGGGGTAGCATGCGACATACCAGCCCAGGCCGATGAGGAACACTGTAGCCAGGCGACGGACTTTCGGTCGGTTGTTGATGAAGTCTCGGAAAGTCTTCTCGGAGCCGATATCGCAAAGGATTACACCATAAAGAAATTGACACTGGAAAGTTTCTACAAGTGAAGTCAGTAAACGAATGTACCACTGGAAGCGCAGATGCATACCAATCTCGGGACTATTTCTCATCCAGTACCAGACGTAGAGCACAGCGCAGGTGAACACGCGCATGTGGAATTTCATAAAGACCGTAGCGAACAAGAGGACATAAATGAGAAAAGCGCCCTGCAGCAAGGGGAGCAGTGCCCACTGGTGATCGTCGTACACGTTGTTAGCGCCAGACCAGGCGTTCTGGAAGTTCTTGAACAAGCGTGGAATTTCCGTGTCGAGACCTCCAATGTCGGTAGGAACTGAGCGGCGAAGCCAGCGAGAGTCACTCAGATGTGAGATTTCGTAGGCACCCAGCTGAGCGAAGATCCAGGCAATACACATGGCAATCGTTGCCGGTAAGATCAGGCGGGGGGGTCGACGGAAAGCCGATTTGCCCAGAGTCTCGAGCGCGCCTGGAATATTGCCAGACTTGGCCTGTCGAAGAGGTTTGATGGCACACACATAGCCAGTGAGGAAGGCGAACATGGTGACGCCAATTCGGCCTTGCCATGGCAGTCGTAGAAACGGTAATTGGAGAAGTTGAGGCGCGGCATTCTCGTCATCGCGGGGCGACCATAGACTGTAGTCCCACGCTCGACAGAGATGTGTGACGACAACCCAGAATGAGGCTACGCCTCGCACACCCTGCCATGGTCAGTTTGAGACGAATTATCTGACGTAACAGAAGCCTACCTCGACCCATGTGACATTTTGGCGGTTGTTGCTTGCCATGCTGCCAGGGCTGGACTGGGCTTCTGACGATGGCGAAAGTCTGGTGACGGTTGCGCGCACAAGATGTAGTGGAGCCTTTGCAATAAAAGACATGTGCATGCAGACAATAACTATAGGAAAGGAAAAAAAAGGGAAGCGGACGGCCTGAGTATGTATGTGGCCGATCAAGGGAAGTAAAAAGTAACAGGAACGAACGAGCGACAATGGCACCTATAGAGGTGCATTGGCGGGTTTTGTCTGACAAGGAGGAGGTTGAGTGCTGGTCGCCAGGATACAGGCAAGTTCCCTCGATGCAAAGACGGGTATCCGGCGAAGAAGCTTGGCATGATAGAGAGCGGGCAGGGAGGAGAGGATTTTGGTATCAGTTGTGGCTGTCTAATTGGCCTCAGGCCTAGAAGGGGAAACAAGCGCCGAGCGTGTATGGACGGCCGCGTAATGTTGCTTGGCGTGGAGAGAATCATGTCCAAATCGTCTCCACTCGTTTCACGATTGTATCGCTTTTGGCTGTCTGAGTGCGCAGTAGAGTAGTCATCTACTCAAGACTGTACTGATGGACCGACTCTTCGGCAGCACTCGATGGGTACTCGGAAGACGGGAATTCGGCACATTAGGGGGGGGATAGGTTGGCCATCGCATCAAAAGGATGGCCGACTGCAGTGATCACATCTTCCATGTGTGGCGCATACACAGTGACAGTGGAGCAAAGGCGCATCAGTGCTTGTCAACTAGTCCCTTTCTGCAGACATGCAGGATGATGCTGCACTTGTTGGGGCCCGGCACAGGACGAGGAGCCACAGAGCGCCTTTCCAACGCGGGTCAGGGGACAGGGGCCGATGTTGGTAAGTAGGATCGGCTGTGGAGAAATTAGAGATTAGAGTACATAGGTATGAGGTATATGTCTATAGACGCACCACGTAGACGATGGGTTGCCGTCCCATTTTCGCATGTCTTGGGGTAGGTGGTAATGCGCATGGGAGGCTTTAGGGGGTGGATATTTGGCATTACAGCTGTGTTGAGACGTACCGGTACGTGCGGCTTCCCATAGTAACGGTAGCTACAAGTGGTAGAAAAGGGGACGCGTTTCCAGTCGAGACGCTTGGAGGGAGACTGAGATTACCATGTTGCGGCTCTGCACAACTCAGGGATACCGACACAGGCGAGTAGGTACATCCCATAGTACAAGTACAAACTCCACCACCATTCTGGCGTTCCCACTGGTGTTCCCCTCGCACACCATGTACCACCACCAACAGGGGCTCGATCTTCGGACAGCGGCACCAGTTTAGCGTCACGAGCCACACAGCAGACTTTCTTGCCGGGCCAGGATGTCTGCAGATGCCACTGTCGTCATTGCGCATTGTCGCGTGGACACACGATAGGCGCGCGTAAAATGGCCATGTTTGTGAGTTTGTAGGTACGCGCAGATGTCAGACACCAGCCCCCATCCCGATCGAACCTTTAGTGGTTCTTTTCCACAATCTGCCGCGCAAACGCTGCGAAATCTCGATGCTCGTCGACCTTGTCCCACAGATTCGGCTGCGTGAAGACAGCCAAAGTGTTCCTCGCTACTTTACCGCCAACCCCTGGACCAGCGCCCCTCACAAAGTGGGGTACGGCCTTGAATTTTCCGTGAGTGATGACCTCAAGAGCCTCGCCAGTCTGGAATGCGAGACAATTACGCGGGATGCTGACCTTGACCACTTTGCCGGTCCGCGAGTGAATATACAGCCCAGCCTTGGGGTCTGGTGAACCTTCCAATTCCTCGAGGGGCGAGAATGCTGATCCAGTTTGGGGCGGTTGGCCGGCCTCGTCAACAAACATGGCAGACGTTAAGCCTGTGAGACAACCGTGGTCAAGATGTGTTGCACACCAGTCATCCTCATCGCCGCCAGACTCGCCAAGTGGGTTGTGTGGACTGGGGAAATAATGCAAAAGCCGAGCCTTGGTCGAGATACTGGTCTTGACCACATGCTCGAGATAGCCTTTTTGATATGCTTCAATGTTCGCTTCGGCATACTTGTCACATGCGCGAGCCACTAGAACAGCAATGCCGATGATGAGCTCGCAGAGTTGGCGAAAAGTCTCCTCAAAGCCCGGTAGAAGTTCTTCAGAAGGCCAGACATTGGGTGCAGTATATTCTGGGAACGATGGATACTTTTCAGCAATCGACTTTTGCTGATGGTCAAACTCTCTTGCACAGTTGACGTAATACGAGCCTTTGAGGGTGTCGTAACGACCATCCTTCAGCGTCTCTTTTCCACATGACCATCCCACCAGCCACTTGGATGCTGGAGACTCGAGCTTCTCTAGAGGCCGTGTCAGTCCTGGGACAGTCCCTCTTCTCAGCGTACACAGTAACGCGGTAGCCACATACCCAGCTCGTCCCGAGGAAGATTACCCAAGGCAGAGGCGTAAGAGAGCAGCTTATGTCTCAGCTCGTGAAATCTTGGCGGAAGATCTCTCACGAGAACGATGCCGAGACTGGAGGATCCAAAAGCCTCTTCCAGGAGAGAGAAGTCGACATTGTCTACATGGATCCTCGTCAGGGCGTATGCTTTTCAAACCTGCATGAGAATCGGGTATGATGGGGCTTACCATTCTGCAGATCGGCCAGTCCCACGGCCACTGCACTCTGGCTGACTGCGTTCTTGGCACTTGCCATGTAGATATGCTGCGTAGGTAGGTGTGCGTGAAGAATCCAAATTGAAATAAACAGGGTATGCTGCAGAGCAAACAATATACTAGGTATGCACAGCAGACCAGAGCCTTCAAGCGACGAGTCTTTGGGCTTTCTCCTGATTGTCCAGCAGCGTGCAGAGAAGTTGTTGTTTTCGTCTCTGAGGTGTGGGCGGTGGGGGAGTAAGAGTGCATTCACCAGCCTGATTTGTCTGCTGCCTCGGCGAACCCCGACGCGTCGCCATCCACAGGGTCACGCGTTCTCGCTAGAACTGGAACCTCCAAGTTCGAACTGACGACCCGAAGGAGAGCCTTGGACGCACCACCAAGCGAAACAGCAATCATGCCCAAAGCGCTCCACTTCAAGGGCGACAAGAAGGTGAAGAAGCGCAGGAAGGCGGCGGACCCCTATAACGCCGACGCCGCACCCTCGAAACAGGTCAGCACCAGCGCTCCTGCTGCGACCGAGGACGACGATTCCTGGGTCAGCGCAGACACGCCCAGCGATGTCTCCGGGCCCATTGTGGTCGTCTTGCCCACGGATGCGCCGACCTGTCTGGCATGCGATGCCCATGGAAAGGTGTTTGCGAGTGCGTTGGAGAATATCGTGGATGGCGACAGTTCGACTGCCGAGCCTCATGATGTGCGCCAGGTCTTCATCGCCAATCGCGTGGCCGGCACCGAGAATCTCAGTCTCAAGGGACACCATGGAAGGTACATAGCTGGCCAGCGCCCCCGTCTCCAAGCAGCCTTCTCCGCTAACAAGACTACCAACAGATACATGAGCTGCGACAAATTCGGCATCCTCAGCGCAACAGCGACCGCCATCTCCCCGGAAGAATCCTTTCTCCTTATCCCTATACCCGACAACCCCTCTGCCTTTTCTCTACAGACGCCCCGCGACAAGTTCCTGGCCATCAGCGACTCCTCGATGAGCACCCCTGACATTAGAGGCGATGCAGAAGACATCACCTTCAACACGACCTTCAGGATACGCATGCAAGCACGCTTCAAGCCACGCCTCAAGGCATCCAAGGAGGAGAAGGCCAAGGAGAAGATCAGCAAGCGGGAACTCGAGGACCTGATAGGAAGGAAGCTCAACGACGACGAAGTCAAGAAGCTGCGGAGATCACGCCGAGAAGGCAACTACCACGAGGTTGCCCTGGACATGAAGGTCAAATCCAGTCACGACAAGTACGCCAGCATGTGAGTCACGTTCTCCTGAGCCGCGAGTCTACACCCACACGCACCGGTACACGCAAACAGGTCGTCGTCCTACCTACAGAGTACACAGACCTCGAGATCTGCGGTGGCGGTGCCATCTGTCCGGGCAGTCATTGCCAAGGCGTTGTACAGGCTACCGCTGTCCTTGTCCGTGCAGTTCTGTAACCTTGCATACTGTGTACTACCTACATATAGTACAATACCTTACAGGTGGTGGCGCAGCAAGTTCTGTAAATGCGTAGCCGCACACGCCACAGCCTTTGAGCATACAGAAAGACGCTCGTCTACGCGTAGGTACGCAATTAAACACTGAATAGTGAAGACAGCATGAAAGAACATCCGAAGATGTGACGAGGTCGTTGCGGATGACGCCTTTATCTATTATACACCAAAACAGTAGAAAGTATGTTATGGCAATGCTATTGTCACACCTGCTTCCATACAGCACTCTATCAGGAACCCTCGTCTTCTCATTCTGTCTCGTTCCACAGGCCCATTTCCTCCATCTCCGCCCGTCGCCTCTCCCACCTCTTTACCATCTTCTCATACGTCCAATAATCCTTCCAAGCATAATACTTGGGTACACTCCACATGAACCACCAAGCCACCCATGCATACCCGGCCGCGAGTTCTCCTCGACTCACCCATTTATTGTCTGCGGCAACACCCATCCATTTCTTCGCTCTGTGCCAGTAATGCTGCACCACGCTCTCGGCGACAATGGGCAGCATCTGCGCAATATACCACCACGTAATAGCCAGCCACTCCTCCTCTGGATCCTGCTGCCATTTGACCACACTATGCATCGCCCCACTCACCGTAAACACAATCACATTCTCTAACAGCCTCGTAGACAACGCCCCTCTCTTGCAGCCCAGCCACGTGCGCGTAACCACCTGCGTATGCGTCGTAAAACTAATATATATATAATTATGCCAGTGAGTGCCCCAGTAGCGACGCATGCTCCACGACTCCCTGATGTGGCCGCAGAGACTCAGCGGCCAGTGTGTGGGCGCGTCTGTGCGCAAAAGGGAGACGAAGAGCAGTGCGAAGAGGGAGTAGTAGAACTCGTACTCGAAGAGCGAGATGATGGTCCAATCGAAGCAGTAGCTGGCTCGGGCGTACATTTCGTTGGCGTCGAGCGAGGCGGGGAGGCGTCGGAAGAAGGAGCCGTAGCCGGACTCGAAATCGTACGAGGGTGGTCTGTAGCTAGATGCGCGGAATCGGTCGTTGAGTGTGAGGAGAGAACCGAGGAGGATGGACTGGACGAGGTGGTGCGAGGTGAAGCGGACGTAGCCGTAGCCGTGGTGGTATTGGGTTCCTGTAGCGGTGTGGGTGAGGGTAGGTTGAGGTAGGTTTGGAAAGGCATGCTGGGGATTGATCATGGTTGTGCCTGCTGCCTTGCCTTGCTCTTCTCGAACCCAGTCTCTTCTTTTTCCCTGCTCCTTTTCTACAGCTGGCTTGTGATTCCGGTCAAAGATGACTCGCCACGCCAGCTTCATCCTGCTCTTCCAGTTGTCATTCTCCTTTTCCACTGCGGGCGCAAACTCCAAGATCAGGACTTCGTAGCTCATATGCGCGTACCAAATGTACAGGAAGCGTCCGAATGTGTCGGTAAGCATGAAGTCTGGCGCCGCGTATAGGTGTTGTTTGAAGGCATAGGCCAGAGGTATGGCGAGAAGGAACATGCTGAGCTTCTTGTAGGTGGGTGGGTAGGCGAGAATGTAGAGACCATAGGTCAAGGAAATGGCTGCAGCGATAATGGGAGGTATTGCAGAGCGGATAGACCACCATCTCCAATCATTGGTTAACATTGTGGATGCTGGACTAGGTTAAGAATGGTGAGTGGAGGTTGTGGAGTTGAGAAAGGAACATTGTAGACCCTCGGATCAACTGAAGTCTCAAGGCGATACGTTACGCAAACGCTCGAATCAGACTTGCAAACGGCAAGAAGTTTCAACCGAAGCGGGTGAAGAGTGCTCTTCTCTGTAGTAATCCCATTCGCCGAACAAGATTTGGGCTTAATTTCATCTGCAAAGTTTTGGTGTGAAAGTGAAGAATAGCGTCTGGATGAAGATTTTCATTAGAAACTGGCCATCAAGATATTCCCTTGGGTATCAATATTCCCATGCATGGCATAGCGTAATATATGCACAAGCTAGTGAAAGCTAGCAGGTGAATGTGATCCTTGAATAATTTCAACGTGTTGACGTTGCAATGCCTCTGGGAGAATAGTCTTATTGTGGCCTGTCGACAGTGTTGACGATGCGTGGCGGAGAGCCAGCTTTCCACTACAACGATTACCCTCATTTTCCGTCCTGTATCCATACAGTACCATCTGGATATCTAAATCAGTGCATGAAAGTCTTTCGTGTCTTACTGAAACTTTTGGAAGCGAAGATTGCTCGAGCTCCAACGTTCCAAGGTACACAAAAGCCTAGTCATACAATTTTCAACTAGCGTGTTGCAAGACTGCAAAAGGCTGTATTCGACGTTCAAGTGCAAATCTCTCTCAGGTAATTGTCACCATAAGGGTATACATTAACACATGCTGGCTCACTCTCATGTAAATTTCTCGGCATCGATGCTCAAGTTTGCTTGATATCATGATTTCATTTCGAGCTTGGATCATCGAGGTATCTTTAGAACTATAAATGCGCAAAACAATTCATTAAGCATAATGATTCTTTAATACCTAGTCAGCTCCGGGCTGCCCTTCCATGCTGGGAAACTCCACTTTGTCTCCACAAAGACCTTTTGCATCCCGTCTTCCTTGTTCTCAAACTTCTTGTAGACCTTGTCCAGGTCTTCGAGACGTACGCGGTGAGTGACCATCTTGGACGGGTCAATGCGCTTCTCTTGGATCATCTGGAGTAGTGACTCCCAGTAGAGATGAACCGGTGCCTGACCGTTACCGATGAGGCGGATACCACGCTCCATCAGCGAGCCAATGTTGAAGTGGTTAGTATAACCAACATAAACGCCGGTGATGCCACAACTTCCAAAGTTTCGTGTGCTGGCAATCATCTCGTTCACGAGCTCGCTGGTGTCGGTCTCAAGACCCAGCATGATCTCAAAGTAGTGGGCCCAACCCTTGGCGTACTCGCCAGCAGCGCACTCAATGCTGATGTCGGGGCCGCGATTGTTGGTCATCTCCTTTAGTTTGGAGGTGACCGTCTCTCCCTTGGCGAGGGTTGAGAAATCCAGAGTCCGTACGTGGGGGTATTTTTGCTTGACGAAATCGAGACGCCAGTTTTGGTCGATCATGATCACTTCCTTTGCACCGTTCAGGAGCGAGAAATCAGCGGCCATTTGACCGATGGGACCAGCTCCCCAGATGGCGACAACATCGCCCTTCTTGACTCCAGTGTCGACGACGGCGTGCCATGATGTGCAGAGGACGTCAGACAGGAAGAGACCTTGCTCATCTGGAACATCATCTGGAAGCGCGAGTAGATTGACGTCACCATAGGGAACACGTGTGTACTCGGCTTGTCCCCCAGCAAATCCACCGGTGAAGTGAGAGTATCCGAACATGCCTGCTGTTCGGCCACCGTACATGCCCTTTTCGATGGTGTTTGAGTTGGTCTTCTCGCATTGTGAGGATAGCTTCTGCTTGCAGTAATAACATTCACCACAAGCAATCTGGAAGGATGCAACGACTCGTTGCCTGTTCCCTGGTCAGTCATCAACTCATTCACAAAAGGCATTTCCTCACGTACCCCTTCTTAAATCTGGTGATGGCGCTACCAACATTGTCTACCACACCGCAGAATTCGTGACCCAAGATGTCACCCTTCTGCATCTCTACGACCGACCCGTGGAGGAGATGGAGATCAGAGCCGCACACTGTTGATCCAGTAATCTTGACAATGACATCACGGGGCTCGATCACTGCTGGCTTTGGTGCATCGATGACGCGAACGTCGTTCTTGCCAAACCAAGCCAGAGCCTTCATAGTCTCTGAATGATCCGCCCACTCCTCTTTGTTGGCTGGGTTGGCAACGTCCTGGGCTGTAGTGTTGTTGTCATCATGGCCCATGGCCTTCTCTGCCTGCATAGCAGCTTGGGATAACATATTGGAAGAAGGTTCGGTTGATGTACTCGGAGACTTTTGGTAGAAGCAAAGGGTTTCAGAGAGTCTAGGAGGAGTCGTTGGTTGTGTTACCGTGGTTTACTGGGAGTAGACACCCAAGGTCGCGAACAGGAGTTGTATATGTACCGGTAGCCCAACAAAGATAACTATGACATAGTCATAAATCTGACGTTGCAAGGCATAGCGTACGCCCAACTACCGACAAACCAGAGTTGATCCCATTCCCTTGTATATGCGCTCGGAGAGGCTAGTTCGACGTCATGACTTGCTGTTGAGGGGTTCATGTCCGTTTTGTCGAACGGGCAGGCAGCAAAATGCCATGTAGTGCGGATCGGATTTCGCGACGAGCATTTTTGGCGAATGTCATATTGACGTAGGGCGGGGCCATTCAGGGCTGGCCGTTGGAGCTTGTGTGCGAACAACAGTGGGACCTGGCTAAATGAACGGGAAGGGAGAGAGTGAGGTCCAGCGCGTTTGGCCTGCTCTGCAACCGTGGTGTGGCTAGCAAAGAAATTTTCCTTTTGGGCGTCATATTGCCTTCATATGTGGAAGGTGGCGAGGCGGTTGCCTTGCAGTTTAGAGTACACTACGGCCTACTACTCGAGGTCCACAGCCAAAGAGCCATCGACGGCTAGAGTAGGGTACTGTTATGCGATTCAGACTGTCGAGTTTTTCAGCTGGGTAGATGCTTCGCGTGCGGCTTCTTATGTGAACTGGATTTGAGGACCGTGATGGCGGCTCGTTTCCATGTGAGTTCAAGATGCACGTGTTGGTAACTTGTAATCTATAACTTGTACAAGTGTCAGTGCCTTGGCTGGCTTTGGTATTGCAACACCTCCAGGGCTGTTGACACAGAGGCCGACAAAGGCTATTGTACGGTAGGTAGTCACGCCTCACTGACTATAGTTTGCCAACGCCATCATTGCGACACCTTGACGAGCTCTTCGACGCGAGTGCCCAAGCGCGCACAACCGTTGTTTATACCCTCACGACAACAATAAGGCCATCACATCTCCGTCCACAAGTCACATGACAACATACCCACACGAAACACGACATCTTAACTCGTCCATCTCACACGCAAAACAACGCGTCCTCACGAAACTAACCAACAACTCTTCCTCAATCCACCGCACAAGACGATGAAATCAATGAAAAGGTTATGTGCATGCAAGATGCAGACCAGCAAAAATTGCCCCGCCGAGATTCCCGAAGGAAGCTCGTAAAGATTCCACGCCGCGCTGTGCAATGCAGGCGAAACCTTTAGACCACTGAATGCTTGAGCTCAGTGAGTCGCAAGAAGGTAAGTATGATTTCTTGCAACGGGGACGGGGGCAGGCCGCCTTATATAGACAGACGATGCTGGCTCGTGCGCTGTGTCACGTGACCGCGGCGCTGCCTGGCCGGCCTCCGTTCTGCACGGGCCTTGTGTTACAATCCAGTTAGGCAGTGTAGCGCTTATTGGCTGCTGAGGACTAGCGAGAGCTTGGGGCATGCTCTGCCCGCAGACGCGACGCCAAGATTGCACCAGCGACCGAGCTCGAGAACTTCTCTCGTTGACAATCTACCGAGTCATCAGCCCTCACCTTTGCTTGTGAGGGGACATGATCAAAACACAGGTAAGCTCAGCATCACCCTTCCACTAGATAGGCCAGGACGTTGGAGATTTGCGCTGTGTTATGGACAAGTCCCATGTCGTGGGAATCTTTTCAAATGGCACCTCTGCAGGCTCTGATCGACCCTTCCTTCCTTCACCCACACCCTCTATGATGATTATGTACAACCTTAGAACCGTTGCGAATGACGCCTTCGGGCGAGTGACTTCACAGCTTCACCCTATCTGAGATTCCATCCTCTCTCTAGTTCAAGCAGATCCTTCTTTGCTCGAGCCACAGCTAACGAGGAACAGACATCATGAGGAGATCATATCTCAGCTTCTTGCGCCCGTACCTTTGTCAGGCTTCACGGCCGCTCAAGCCTGAGCATGCGCGCGCCTATCTCGCTATACAGAGACGCCTCATACAATCGATAGCTGCGGAGGAGTACACTGGGCCACACGATGTGGAGAAGCAGAAACGGATTGAGCAATTGAGCAAAGTCAAGTCACTGGGTGATTATCACCCGCGGCTTGTGCATTCTGCTGGAGTAGACAGTTTGTCACTGCGTGACTTCAATGCAAAGTACAATAGTATTCAAGTTACACAGAATGAAGTCGTTTCGGTACTCGGTATGGCCCATGTCCCATCAGGTCGATTGTGAAATCTGACATCGTCAGGAAGGGTGCGTTCGGTGCGAACGCTTAGTGCCAAGCTGATATTCCTCGATGTTGAGCGTGATATGCAACGCTTGCAGGTCATGGTGGAGCTGAAGAAGCTTGCCACGCCCGAAGATTCCCTGGAAGCTTACAAACGCTTCAAGAAGGTCGCTCGACTTGGTGACTGGATTTGTACGTGACCACCAATTTTCACGTCTCCTCTACAACTAACATGCCTAAGCTGTACAAGGATGTCCAACTAAAACATCGACCGGCCAACTCTCCATCCTGGCTCGGGAAGTACCTCAAGTTCTTGCACCCTGCCTTCACCATATCCCCGAGCTTGTCGACAGTGCTGAAACGCTTGCACGACGGCCGCACATTCACCAGCTCACCAGCCACGAGCCTGGCGATGTTCTCCGCCTACGCGCCATGATTTACGACTACATTCGCATGTACTTTATTCAAAGCGGCTTCTTGGAGGTCGAGACCCCGCTCTTCGACGTCAATGCCGGCGGTGCCATTGCGCGACCCTTTGAGACTGTCGCGAACGAAATGTCCAACATACCAATCAAACTCAGAATAGCACCGGAGCTTAATCTCAAGCGACTGATCATTGGAGGGCAGGACAAAATCTTCGAACTCGGACGCTCATTCCGTAACGAAGGAGTGGACAACACACACAACCCTGAATTCTCCACATGCGAGTTCTACGAGGTTGGTGCCACGCTCGCCGATGTCGTTGCGCGGACCGAGCAGCTCATTCACGGTCTACACACCGCGACTAAAGCCCTGCGACCAACCTACTTCCCCTCTCTCACCGCACCAGAAGAGATTGACTTCTCAACTCCATTCGCGCATCTGCCCTTCATCCCCACAGTCGAGCAGGCATGTGGTCGCAAACTGCCCAATCTCTCCACCCCAACAGCAGCAGATGACCTTCTCGCCCTATTCAAGGACCTCGACATCACCATACCACCCAACCCCACACTACCCCGTCTCCTAGACACCCTAGCCGAAGTATACATCGAGCCGCTCTGCAAGAACCCCACCTTCATCTCCCAACATCCCGAAGCCCTCTCTCCGCTGTCAAAGTCCTACGTCGACGATGTAACAGGGCAGCGCGTCGCTTCGCGCGTAGAACTTTTCATTCACAGCCGTGAATACGTCAATGCGTATGAAGAGGAGAACTCTCCGTTTGAGCAGCGCCGCAAGTTCATCCAGCAGCGCGGGTTTCAGGCCGAGGGCCATGAGGGCGCAATCGATGAGAGTTATCTAGAGGCGCTGGAGTGGGGGATGCCGCCGACAGGGGGCTGGGGATGTGGGTTGGATAGGCTGGTCATGTTGTTTGCGAGTAAGAAAAGGATTGCAGATGTATTACCTTTTGGCACGTTGAGGAATGTGGTTAGTATTGCTAGGATGAAGTAGGGGAGGATGAGGGGATCCTGAAGGAACGTAGACAAGGAGGGGGGGTTCTAATCAAGATCAAGTCATTGTGTTCAGCAGCGTATTATAGGGCTTACAGGGCTTACGAGGAACGGTGCATCTGAGTACTATGAGTATATCACGGATGATGGCCACGGAAAGAAACGTGTGCAAGCAAATGACCACGTGAACTATGAAGTCTCAATTGACGACCAAATGGGTATCCTGAATGACTGGACAAGTAATGTATGATCCACCATGCCTTTTTTCGCCTGCAGGCATGCATATCATACGTCATCATTGCCCTCCTATAACGGACACTCTTTCATCATGTACATGCACATCCATCACCCTTCATCTTGCACAACCCATCATTACTTTCTCTTCTTCAATTTCTCCCACTCCATCTCCTCAAAGACCGTTGGCCTCCTCGCAGCATCATCCTCACACCGAATCGGATCCTGTCCCTCGCAACGCTCGAGCTGGAACCGGTACATGGCCCTATCCTTGTCCACGACCATGTACTCCTTGACCTTGTACAAGCCATCGTAGCGTAATCCGACACTGGGTCTGTACTGATTGCTCTTGGGAAGCTGGTGGGAGCGGATGACGCGGATGGGATTCTGGAGCTCCTTTGATTGAATCAGGTGGTGGGTGTTTTCAGTTGGGGTGGCGTCTTTGGACTCGGTGCCGCTGTATTCAATGGTGTCGCCGTTATCCAGATCGTGGTAGCCGGTACCGCTGGAGAGCACAATGGAGTAGGCGCCGCGGTCTTTTTCGCCGAAGATGCCTGCGTGCTGAGGTGAGCGAGTGCAAGAGTGGATGGGGGTTGGTGAGTGGGTTTGCAGATTCTTACCTCCTTGCGCCGCGCCGTGGGCGCCGTCTCTTACCGTGCAGAGCTGGGTGGGCCACCACTGTCCCTGAACTAAATTGCCTTCGCCGTAGTACTTGGCGGTCGTTGGATGGGCTGATCGATACTCTGGGTCGAAGCTGTCGTTGTTGCGATCTTTGCCTGCCTTGGTGATGATGCCGCGAAGTATGTCTTGATCAAAGTCCTGGTTGTACCAGCGGTTGTAGAGCTGATAGCTATCTGCCTTGAGGTCGGAAGGGAAGGCCGAGTCTTTTCTGAAGATTGCTGGTAGGCCAGTATCTGGATTCAGAATTCGGGCCTTCTTGAGGATATACTTGTTGACAGAGAGTTTGATCTCGGCTTTGTGGACTTCATTGCGCAGTTCCTCGTAAAACGGCTTCTGCTCTTCCCGGCATTTGGCAATGTAGGCCTTGAGTGAGTCAAGCGCGGTGAGATCTTGAGGTTTCTTCTTCGACAGTTGCTTCATGTCGAAACTGTTCTCGTTGATGGAAGTATACCATTTGGGTAGAGGACGGATTGGATACCGGTCTGTTGAATCTTCTGGGAAGTAGAGGCCATCCATTGTATTTGGCAACGAGACTGGTGTCGTTGCATTCGTCAAAATCTCTCGTGCAGCGCCCGCTCTAGAGGACTCAGCCACAGCGAGAATCTCTTGCCCATTCACCTCCACTTGATTTGCCACGACACCTTCCTTTGCTTGCTGTGCTCGAATCAGTTTCTTCTTACCCTGCCTCTTTTCTCGTAGCCACTCTTGCTCTTGACCAAGGGAATCATTGGATTGGGTCACACGGGGGATTTCTGCGTCTGGTAAAACATGGCGATCCATCTCTTCCGTAGGCTGAGGTTGCGCAGTGAGGGAGAGCGGTTCAAAACTTTTTTGCGTTCGAACTTCCGCGCTTTCCTGCACAACATCTTTCTTGGCTGTCTTTCTTCTGCTCTGTGCTTCATCGATGACATTCTGTAGTCTCACCTTTAGAGCGTCTGATGGGACAGTCGCTCGAGCAGCGTCCCGGACTTCCTCGACTTTTGCCCTTAGAACATCTGCTGTGACCTCCGAACGAGCAAGATTGTGCTGAGCCAAATCAATCAGCCAAGCGGGCGGCTTGAATGGCTTATATTTGTCTTCACAGCGAGGATCGTCCAGATCTGAATCACTCGCATCGCAGTCTTCCATATTGGCATCAACCGTGCTAGGATCCCGAGTCGTTGAATTCTTGAGTTGTGCTGCTGTACTTGAGCACGGAGGCTCCACGTAATTATTCAGTATGATTGGTATCATGTGCCACAGAGTAAGTAAACAACTGGTTTATGACGTGCTATGACAGCGTGCTGCAGTGAACGCGACTGTGACGCGATCAGTTGTTGTAGCTCATGGTAGAATAGCCTAGTCGGTGAGGTTTGTTTGCACTAGTTGCTAGGTATGCGACGCGCCTGGCTCTAATGTACCACGTCGTGTAAGGTCAGGGCCATTCAAATCTAACAAGCCAAATAAATTAGGCTTGGAAACGTTGCATGCCAAAGAAAGAGGTGATTAGAATATTGCAAACAGTACCTGGGCACAACATCTTCAGGACACGTTAGATCACGGGGTTAGCGCGGGCCTGAGTGGGCACCAAAATCCGGTAGGGGAGAATCAAACTATCGGACCTTGAACTCGCATTCCTCTTAGGTATCGAAGAGCGTCATTGTGAATTTACAATAGTTCCAGAAACCTAGTAACATTCTAGTAATTAGAATTCGTAGCATTTTGTACGTAGATATTTGTTCAAAATAATATAGAAGTACGCTACTATACCTTGCAACTGTAACTTTGTTCTAGGAAAAGGCATTTATTTGTAAGGTGATGTTTAAAAGTAATCTCGCACATCAAGAGCCGTGCGCGCATGCCCCAAACATCCAAAATGCCTTTACTCGCACATAACTATCTTAATACAACGCTGTCACACATATCTGAGGCACGATTTAGATCTGACACAGATCTCGTTGCGGAGGTTCACCGCACCTTTTAGCACCCGGAAAAGTGCTCATGGTTTGCAAACAGGCTGTGACTGGTCCTGTCAGATGTAGTCTGACATCTGTTGGAGATGGTTACCTGCTGCAGCAAAGCATCTCGGCGTATTTATGATGATGACGTGAATTTATCTAGGCATTCCTCATGTGATCAGGGCGATATCTAGAAAATACGATCTGTTCTAGAATGGGAAGAACGTTATAGTAGATCCCGTTGTACTCACTCCACTTTATTGTATGATGTGGCGATGGGCAATTGAACTGTTATGCAATGAGATTCGTAACTTCGTCGTTGAACCAGGTACGCCTGACCTATATTTTCCAAGGACTTCTGTGCTATGCTCAAACGCCGTCTCCAAAAAAAAATGTCTAAAATCTTTTTGGCAAGTTGAAGTCCAAGTTCAAGTGTTCAATTTCCATTGCCCTCAACAACCTGCCCCAAAGCTTCTCCCTCAACCATAGCCTCCTCGGGCCCCTTCCCGTCCTCCCCAACCCTCCTGTCCGCCTGCCTATCATCTCCCTCCTCCACCTCTGTGCTTAAATTTACCCATCCCCTCACACTGTCCTTCTTTGTACTCAGAATTGCGGTATCTTGCGCCAGCATCGCATCCTCCCCTTCGATTTCAAGGTCCGCGGCGCTTGTATTAGCAACCTCTACGCCACTCTCTCTGAGCACCTGTAGAATGGCCCTAGTGTTGAGTCTCAACACACGTTCTGGCTCCTTGGCACCAAACGCCTTAGTCGTGATCCAAGGAAACAGGACGCCGAAATCGCTCTGGGAAAGATGCGCAGAGGAGATCGGGTAGAAGATGTGCGGTCCTGGTTGATTTTGGAACTTGGATTTTGAAGGGGAGGGAGGGGCGATGATGCGTTTTGTTTCGCGAAAGTTTGCGGACCACTTGTAGAAGCCCTCCGAGGCAATGACGAGGAGGTTGCGGCCTCCGGTCAGGGAATCATAACAGGGCATTGGCTGGGAGCTGAGCCAGGCCGTAAAGGGACTTTGTATCGGCAGGGTCCAAAGGTCGAGGAGTACTACTGGTGTCGATGGGGTGATTTGGCGGACAAGGGCTGAGCCGGAGGACGGAGTGAAGAGAGGCTTATAGTATGGGATTTGGGTGGAGGGTCGATGGTAGATGGATTTCACAAACTGAACCATGGTGCATGCGCCAAAGGAGTGGCCCGCAAAGCTTATAGCGCCTGGCTCGTGAACTTTGAGAGTATTCTGGAACATGGTGAGGAGATCTTTCTCTGCATGCTTGGGCTGGTCGAGTGCAACATTCTTGAGCTTCTCTCCTTGGTCAATCTTGATGAGCGCATCGTGAATTGTGGCTACTTCCCACAGTCGTATGCGCAACTGTTCGTCTCTCGCCTCGTAAGTTTCGGTGCTTGGCTTGTGAGCAATTGACCGGTACTCGACGCGCTTAGTCTTCTCTTTTTGGTCTGGTGTCTGGTGTACCGACAATGGCGCACTTCCATCACGATGGTCGGCCGCTACAACAACGATTCCGTGACTTGCGAGCGAGCCGCAAATGTGTGAATAAGCGTTTCTTGAGCCACCGAGGCCATGTGAGAAGACCATGACGGGCCACTGTTTGGATTTGCTCGGGGATTGGAGGATATCAGCGTTCTGATGTACGGGCATGGTGATGAAATAGAGTAGTTGGGGGATCAATCTGCCTTGGTCTTAGCATTCTCATCCAGAGCTCCTGCATGTCAACTTACGCAAACACTCCAGCAAATATGCTGTTGGCGCCCAAGAACTTGGCATACGCCGCAATCATGTCACGCTGTGGACTTGGAATCCACTTGACAGCATTCTGGTCGCTGTCCTGTTTGCATGGGTAGAACATGCGGAAGGCCACTGTGGGCAGATGCGCCGGGGGTGCATCGCCTGTCGGACTCTCCAATCCACTTGTGGGAATCTCTACGTCTACGGAGCCGACTTTGTAAGGCCCTGTATGCGCCGGGAATGCGGGCGTGGGATTGATGCGCCTCAGCCATGTCATGTTGGCGGCTGGGTGGATATTGGCCTTGGTGACAGAGACGTGTAAATGTATTTCAGAAGTAGTCTAAATGGATGCAGGGAACGGAGTGGCCGTAGGAGAGAGGTTGGGTGCGGTGTGAAGCGCGACAGAGAAGGAGAAAGGCGAAGAAAAGATGAACAGCAGGCCGAGGCACACTCACGCATGGGAAATAGGAAGCAGGACATGGGAGTGAGGCAGATGTCCATGTTTATCGCAGACGCTAGTTTCACGAACAGTCCGGAGCAGGCGACCTTTGAAGTCCCGGGCACTCAGGCGCTGAGCGATACGTGGTCCTTGTCCAGGAATAGTATGTAGCGTAGCGTGGCAAAGGTAAAGAAAAACCGTCTCTACTACAGTACCGAGGCTCCTCCCCATGGCCGGTTTGTCGGATGAACGTGACGGCCTGGAGATTGTTCGCATGTGCGTGTTTTTGCGTAGTGCGCACTCGAATGCCGTCCGCTTTACAGAACAATCGATTGCGTCTGATCTTTTCCCTCTTTTGGCTCCATGTGCAACGTTGGGGGAGGGTGTGAATTGTCGTGCTCGTGTGCTCTCCCCAAAAGTGCGTTGTGCGGAGATGACGACATTGGATTGGCAGAAAAAGGACGCTAGCCGCGGTCCGGCTCGGGCTCCGGGGCAGGGCCAAACAGAGTTACTACATGCAGTGTAGTGTGTACTCTAGTCACAGGACTTGGGTTGTCAGAGAAACATGTGACATGTGTCATGTGACATGTGACATGGCATGGTGATGGACACTTGGGGGAACATCAGCGAATGCAGCGAATGCTGTCTGCGCACATTGGCTCAAGGGCAAGGGTAGACAAAGAATCCACCAGTGACTTTGATCTCTGCACAAAGTACTGTTGGATATAGCGCATTGGCCGCAAAGGGAGCAGGCTGCCCAACCTCCGAAGACTATCCCTACACGAGACAGAAAGAAACTTGCCAACGCCGTGCCCATGCTGCGGACGCAAAAAAAGAAAAAAGAAAAAAGTCTGGGAACAATTCAACGGGAGAAACAAAACAAAACAAAACAAAACAAAACACAAAAGGCGAGAAAAGAGTATTCGCATCTGTAAACCGACCCCCGCTCAAGCAACTTACAAGCATCAAGTACTCCGCTCTAGTCATCAAAGTCTCTCCTCCATCAAAGAATGCCCCAGAAGCCAGGGAACTGCAATCATCATCCCTCCTCAGCAACAACCCCCTCTTCGCCGGTTCCCCCCGATCCTGAACACGCCCTCCCATTCGCCCAAAGCTCCAGCTTTCTTTCCTCTCCTCCTCGACCGTAGACCCTCATCCCCAAACCCACTCTTGATGCTCCCGCCGCCATCGTCCCAGCCCAGATCGCCATATTGGATTCCACTTGCCGGATCGTCGGGGTCGATTTCGCCCAATTCAATCTTTGTGAGTATCATGCGTGCCAGTCTTGTAAATAGCTCCTCTACATTTTCGCCATTCAGCGCAGACACTTCGACCGCCACTGGTATCCCATTCTCACCTGCCCAACGTGAAGCCGTGTCGGTGGCTACCTCGCGTCCATCAGGCGCAACCGTGTACGACGCATGTAAATTTCCGTTCAGTGATGGCGCATGCGAGGACTGCGAACCGGGCGTTGGTGGGGAGAACCCGCTTTCACTAGAGGGCGTGCTGCTGTAACTTCCCAATGCCCCATGACCCCCGACGCTCGACGGCGGTGGCGGCCCGTCTTCCACGTCGGCTTTGTTGCCCGCCAGTATAATGGTGATGTCTGGTCCCGCCAGTGCGCGCGCATCATTCAAAAACGTCTGTAGTTGCTCAAAACTCCGCCAGCTGCTCACATCGTAGACGAGAATGGCACCGGCCGCGCCGCGGTAGTAGGATCGCGATACCGAGCGGAAGCGTTCGGTGCCGGCCGTGTCCCAGAGTTGGAGTTTGATGCGCTTGCGGGCAGAGGCGTGGGCTTTGCGGTCGGCGATGTGGACGATTTTGGAGGAGAACTCGACGCCGATGGTTTGTGAGGAGAGGACGCGCCCTGGGCCCATAGTCAGTCTGTAGCCCTCGTACATGGGAAGAGAGAAAGATCGCTCGAACATAGCAAGGAATGTAACAAGGCACTTGTTCGGCAACTTACATTCATTCTTTACGAATCGGTGTAGCAGACACGATCTTGAACAGGTCAGCCCTCGCTCGTGATTTCCTTTGTCCGCCCAAGACTGATTTACTTTCCAGCTCCGCTCGGACCTAGCAGCACAATTTTCGCAAGGTAATCATACATGCTGCCCAATTCCTGGGCTTGCTTAGCATGATTCGCGGATTCCTGCCATGTTCCCTACCTACTTGGTGCCGGGGCTCACTGCTCTTGTTCGACGCAGTCGAGGCAGCCCGATTGCGCCCCATGGTGCCAAATGGCCTTGCCGCGTTGAAAAGAACGAGGGGTTGTGTGGTTTTGGCTATGCACCTCGGTCGCGCATATCCTCTGGGCGGAGTGTACGATGAACAAGAGCGAAAATGCACCAGGTTGTGCAACAAAGGCGGGACCTGTCGTGCTGTGTTGCAACCATACGCTTGGCTCATCGCCCTGACGAACCGCGGTCCGCGACTCCACTGTCACGCGCAACGGCCATTTAACTACATACATGGTTGTGATTGGCCTGCTAACAAACTCGTCACCGTTCGAAAGCACGAGAGTAGTACATGGAAAGGATTGTAGGCGTGAGCTTGTATCGTCATGTATTCTAAACAATGGTATAGGAAAACTAGTCGCTGTGAGAGTCTATGTACAAATCAATTGCCGAATGATCTCTCCTCATTCGGACTTCAAAACAAAAATAGTAATGCAAAGGTGGGTAGTTATGCCGCTAGTTCGACTCGACATCCAAACCTGTTCAAGGGAAATGAGAATTCAGGAGCAGAAGTCCAAGGTGCACACTCTTTAGTCGCCGAGATCCTTGAGCGGGATGTAGCCTGCCTCTTCCTTATTTCTTCCCCATGCAGACATTGCATCTCTCATCCAATCCCGCGCTGAGGCAAACGCACCCTTGCGAGTCTGTTTCTCTTGTTCGGCTTCAAGCTCGGAAACAGACGCTCCAGGGTCCAACACCGCAACTTTCATCCAACTCGGGCGACGCCAAAACTTGAGGTGCAGCGAGCTAGCAACGACAGAGACAGAGGAACATGCCATGGCAGCACCAGCGGCCATGGGATGGAGTGATAAGCCCCATGGGAGGAAGAAACCCATGGCGAACGGGAGCCCAATGAAGTTGTACATGCATGCCCACGCAAGGTTGAGTTTTATTCGCCAGAAAATGGCACGGCTGAGCACGAGACTCGCGGGGATGGCCAGAAGATCGGTATTGGTCATGAGGACGATGGAAGCGGCCTCCATGGCTACGTCAGTACCCGTAGACAGCGCGATACCAATGTCAGCGGATGCCAGGGCCGGACTGTCATTGATACCATCTCCCACCATGCCGACGACTTGACCACGCGACCGTAGGTCTTCCACGATAGCTTTCTTGTCAGCCGGTGTCGATGAAGCGTGAACATCACTTTGATCGATGCCAACTGCCGCTGCTACGATCAAAGCAGATGCTGATGTGTCGCCTGTTACAATGGAAGATGTGATACCCAGACGCGAGAGAGCCAAGACGGCTGCGCGAGCTGAGGGTTTGATAGTGTCAGACAGACTTAGCGTGCCCGTGTATGTCGTGCCGATAGCAGTATGGATAGTCGTGATACCTGCAGAGCGGGATTGCGGCCCATGTGGATTGGCAGTACCTGTGGTCTGAGGCTCGTCTGAGAAGTCAGGAATGTTGACATCCTGAGAGGTCAGGAAGGCAGCATTGCCAATGAGAACTTTGTAGCGTATGCGCTCTTGGGAAATGGCAGCCTCGACAGTCGCGCTAATACCCTTGCCGACGATGGCCTCGAAGTCTCCGACAGACCCGTCAAGAACACCGTCAGGCCCAAGTCGCAGATGCTCTTTGGCAGCAAGAACGATAGCTCTGGCAATTGGGTGCTCAGAGCCCATCTCGGCCAGTCCGATTAATGTCCACCAAAGATTCTTCTTCTCCGCACTCGCCCATTCGCCCTGGATGTCGGCCTTGGACACACTCATCTTACCAACCGTCAGCGTCCCAGTCTTGTCAAAGATGACGTGTGTTATTTTCGTGGCTGTCTCGAGAGCTGTGCCACCCTTGACCAAGATTCCTTGCTCAGCGCCAACTCCAGTGCCAACCATGACAGCGGTAGGTGTAGCAAGGCCAAGGGCACAGGGGCAAGCGAAGACGATAACAGCGATGCAAAGCTTGACGCAGACCATCGTTTTACCGCCACTGGCGTGCCCTTCAAAGGCCTTTGGCGGATAGGGAAGTACATGGCTAAGCACCATCCAGCCGACGAAGGTGGCCAATCCAAGAGTGATGATAATCGGAACGAAGTAGCCGGCGACTACATCGGCAAGACGCTGAATAGGCGCTCGACTAGTCTGAGCTTCCTGAACAAGGCGAACAATCTGGCTGAGCTGAGTATCGCGGCCAGCCCTTGTGACCACGAATTCCAAACGGCCATTTCCGTTGACCGTTCCAGCCATGAGGAGCGCTCCTTTTTTCTTCAGAATAGGCATCGCCTCACCAGTGACCATGCTCTCATCGAGATAGGATTCGCCGCGCGTCACCGTACCGTCGGCCGGAATCTTGTCACCAGGACGTAAGATGACCACATCTCCAACATCGATTAACTCTGTGGGAATGACGCGCTCTTCCGCAGCATTGCCATCGACAGACATGCGATCCAGCTTTGCGTCCTCAACATCCCAGTCTTCGGCAGCCTTGGCGGCAGCAATTGGGTCTGCATAGATGGTTGCCATGGGTGGAGCCAGAGACATGAGTCTAGAAAGTGCCTTTGACGTCTGACCCTTTGCTCTATTCTCAAGGTATCGGCCCAAGCTAATGAAAGTGATCAGCATGGTGCTGGTGTCGAATAAGGTAGTCGGTTTGGTATGAGGCTCAACAAACAGCGATACAAGCATGGATGCAACGCTGAAGAAGAAGGCGGCGGATGTTCCAAGTACGACGAGGACATCCATAGTGGGAGAACCATGGCTAAGTGATTTGTATGCGGAGGTATAGAACCGTCTGCCGATGCCGAATTGAACGGGGATTGTGAGGACCAGACAGAGGACATCTCGGACATAGAGACCGGGTATAATACGAATGGCGCCGTAGTTGAGAAAGGGGAGACAAAAAGGAATGAACATGCTGGTAAGGAAGACCGGGACGGCGAAACAAGCCGTAAATATGACAGCGTGTCTCCATTCCTGGATCTCCTTTGTTTTCGCAAGAGACTCAAGCTGAGCACTGTTGTCGTCGGAATCAGCGACCAATACACTGTATCCGGCCGCTTCAATGAGTTCAACAATGGCTCGTAGACCAATGACTTGTGGCTCACGCTGGACTGTGACGCGAGATGTGCTGAAGTTTACAGTCGCCGATGTAACGCCTTGATGTTTCCGCAAAAGGCCTTGGAGATCCTCGGCTGCACTCGGGTTGGAGAGTCCAAAGATCTTGAGTTGTACTGGCCCGTTGTTCGCCGATGACTCCTGCAGACTGCCGTCCACTGAAGAGACGAGCTTGGCATCGAATCCACGGTCTTCAATAATCTCCACGATTTGGTCCTCGGTCAGTTTGGCGGGGTTGTGGACAATGACGGCGCGGTTCGCAAGCAAGCTGATGTTGAACTGAAAGACACCATCCAAGTCCACGAATCCGCTCTCAATAGCCGAAGTGCATGCGCCACAGGTCATGCCCTCGACAGCAACTGTGGTGATCAGCGTCCTTTGTTTCTTTGCCTTTTTGTTCTTCTTTGCTGCCGGTGTAGCGGCTACGCTATCCAAGACCTCGGCATCGAAGCCTACATCCTCGATTGTTTCAGCAAGTTTTGCCGCATTGATGATTGTGTTGTCGTGTTGGATTACAGCGCGTTCGGAGAGTAAAGATATGCTAAAGGAATGGATGCCTGCCACGTCCTTGAAGGCACCCTCGACGGCAGATGTACAGGCACCGCAAGTCATGCCCCCTACAGAGAGTGTAGTAGTCAATATGTTGCTGTCCATTTCGTCTTCTTCCTCCTCTGAGTCGCTTAGGAAATGGTCATCGATCTCTTGGCCCATGGGAAGATCGCTAGAGAGGATCTCGGCGTCAAAACCTCTGTCTTCGATGATTTCCCTGACCTCGTTGGCGGAGATGATTTCCGGGTCATGTTGGACTACCGCCCGCTCCATTACCAGGCTTATTGATACTTTTCCGACTCCTTTGACACCTTTGAAGCCCGAGTCGATGGCAGATGTACATGCGCCACAGGTCATGCCTTCGACCTTGAGCGTAGTTGTGGCCATGTGCGCCGTTCCGCGCGATGCTAAGGGAGGAGACATGTCGTCAGAAGAACCGTCGCACGGCGGCAGGGTCGCTGTGTGGGGTCTGTGGTGCAGTCGTCGAGGTCTCAGCGCGACGCTTCCACGCGAATCATGCAAGGCGAAAATAATTGGGGGCTAGGGGATCAAAGGGGTAGAGAGTATATGATGGGTATTGCTGCATGCACCGGATTGATATCGCCAAATCACGAGCAAAGAGGGCTCCCAGAAAAGAAGAGAAAGTCCGGCTTCCGATAGTGGTCAGATGTCGAGGGGTTGTTAATCTGGCTGAATAATTTGGCTGAAGGGAAAGCCGCAGCCACAAGTTTCCCAGCTTGTTTGTCGGACGGCTAAAATAAGGCCACCCAGATCCCGAAACTGAGGGCGGACAAAAATGGGCTAGACGAGCTCGGTAAGCTGACGATGGGGATGGGACCCTGTAGCTGGAACCAGCCGCAAAGGACCGTGTGAGTCAGGAGTGGAGAGGGTTAAGTGGGCGTGGGACCAGGAAGAAGATTACTTTTCTTCCCTCAAAGGATAAAGGGCGGAGACGACGAGGTTTTGAAGGCAGGTTTCCATGGTGGAGCGTGGCGCTCTTCGTCCTTGTGTGAGCGGGGGTGGTTGACAAGGAGATGATTGGAGGGCCGTGCGTCCTGTGCGCGCTTCCCAGGGCCGGATGGAGAGTCGTTTTGGCTTGGCATCTGAAACAGGAAGGCATCCAAAACACGGCCCCGAGGCAGGATGCGGTGCCATGCGCATGTGCGACAAGTGGAGCCTCAGCCTCGGAGCTTAGAGTAGCATGTAGTAAAGAGAGAAGGGAAAAAAAGAGGGTGCATGGTAGTACTACTCCTCTCGTGTAGTAGTAGCTTAGAGTAGTAGTAGTCTACTCCCCGAATTACTCATCGCTGCGCGGCGGCCCGAGAGTGTTTTAGGGGTGAGGGGCCAGGGGAGATGCAGCATATCAGCCAGACCGGTATTTCGTCCACCGAGCAAGTAAGATTGGTCTGCTCCTCCAACAATACATGTGTGCTATCGTACAGTACTCTACATGCACAAGCATAGGCTAGCTAACATAGGCAAGTCAAACTAAGTTCACCCGATCTCCTGTTGCTTGTTTTTCTTCTCCTTCTGGCTCTCTTTCACATCCTCCTTTTTCTCTTGTATATATATATATATATACTTTTACACAAAGACTGTAAAGTCCAAGCCAGGGCGGGATGTAGGTGGGTATACCATACCGTACCACCTATGTGACAAAAAGTGAGAAGATTTCTGCACTTGATACCGCCGTCATACGCACATTCCCCCGTTTCTGTTTCTAGCGCCCATCCTGCAGCACATACTACATAATGCTCCCGGTAGATAAACTCCACCGTACGCAACAATGCTCATCCGTCCACATCCGCCCGCCTTGGCCATGGTCGTTCATAGGCGATCCGTGATCCACCACCTGTTCACGAGGTCACGACATGAAAGTTCCGGATCGACGCCAGACAGCTGATTGGGCTCAGGCTAGCCGCCATCAGCCTCTTCGGTGTGCGGTAGGTAGGTAGGTAGAGAGACAATTTACACGGTAGTCTGTATTTTGGCCAGCGTATCGCACAGCGCGAGATGGTGAGGAGACTCACGTAGGGTGTGCCAGGTACTGAACAGCACACCGTCGACCGTGTGTCGTTGGCATACTCGTACATGGATGATGGATTGTATGTAGTGTAGGTACTTGTACTGTATGTAGTATATGTACATGCACGCCATCGCGGGGCAGGGAACAACTGATGCCAAGCCCACACGCCGCATTGGGACTAGGTAGCACGTCGTGTTGGTACTCTACTACTGACATACCGGTAGCACTTGAGGTACCGGGACCATACTAGGTAGATGGCAGTAGGTAGGTAAAGCTGCCTGCTTACCATCAACACCACACAACAACAACAACAACAACAAGCTTTGCAACGATAGCCGGCTCAACACCTACCTAGTCCCAAAGACAGAGTCTCGGCGTCTTCGCACAATTGCACCATGGAGCAGACCAAGGCACTCAATGCCCTCGAGCCGTTCCTTGCCCTCAGCAAGTCTGCAACCTCACCACGCGCTGCATCCGACTTGGTCATGCAAGCCACAAGTGCGCCCAACACATACGTCTTCGCCGAATTACTACAGACACCCAATATCCAGAACCTGCGGAGTTCTGAAGACTACGCACCCTATCTCTCACTTCTCGGGATCTTTGCGTGGGGCACATGGGAGGATTACAAGGGTATTACTCACTTTGCTGGCTTGCATGGCAATAGAACTAGACACCAGACTGACCGCCACCAGCACAACCGGACCTGCCCAAACTCTCAGCACAGCAGCATCAGAAGCTCCTCTTGCTCTCGCTACTTCCACTGTCACACTCACACAACACACTCACCTACAAACACTTGCTCGTGGCGCTCGACTTGTCCACCACACGCGCCCTTGAAGAGCTGATAACAACCGCCATTTACTCTGGCCTCATCACCGCTACACTCGACCCCGCCCACTCTCTCGTCTCGGTCACTTCCATCTCTCCCCTCCGCGATCTCGCCCCTGGTTCATTGCCTGCACTACAAACCACACTACAGTCATGGTCACAACGTTGCGACTCGGCACTTGCAGACCTCCAGGCCCAGGTAGAGAAGGTGAAGAATGAGGCAGCTACCCGGGAAAAGGTTCGCAGGAAGAAGGAAAGGGCTATTGAGGCGGCTTTGCAAGCTGAGAGCGAAAAGAGCAACGGGAAGCGGGGGATCATGGGTATGGCTGGTGATGATGCCATGGATATTGACGAGGAGAGTGGGAGCAGCCGGAACACCAGGGGAACTAAGAGAGTTCCTGGTGGAGGGCTGGGCTCCATTGGCATGGGCCGCCGCTTGGGATGATTCATCGTCGCATGTCGAGCACCTAAACATGATTCGATGACCTCATGCATCCACATGCCAAAAGGTACTTGTTGTAGGCGGTAGATGGGATGCGAAAAAGCGCCATCTTTTGTTTTTTTGAAGCATTGCCGTGCCTTTGTGGCCATGGAAGAGACGAGGCGAGGTGGGAGCTGTCTCGTGCACTCTGGTATGGAGGAGAAACGTACCCACTATCCATAGGACGAAGAGCCATGTCTCTCAGGAGAATGTCTCGACCCAGCTACTGCTAATATAGCACGAGCACATGAAGCGAGGAACATCATGATACACAAAACATGGACTTTTGCTGAAGGCAAGGACAAAAGAGCAACAAATAAATAACGGGAAACACTGGCATCGGTACAGATTCGATGCATGATTACAAACTAAGCTGCTGCTATGCCATGCTAACATGATAGTCTGCATCCAACATCCCTATGCCCATCTATCGACTAGAGAAAAAGCTTCCCTAGCATAATCAGAGTATCGTGCATGCCATGCCATGCATTCCAGTCCCCTCCGTGAAACGCCCTGCCTTCTGCGAGGTAGTAGAGGAAGAAGAAAGGGAAAAAAGAAAAGAAGAGGGAAAGAACGCCATGCAGTGCCTATTCACAGCCAGTCAACGAAGTATGTGAATGTCAGCCATCCAACTCCCCAACCTCCAACCGTACCACCTCCTCTTCCTCCTCCTCCACCACCTCCTGCTCCAACACCCCCACCGCAGTAGCAGTAGTAGTAGTAATAGTAGTACCAACTTCCTAAGCCGGCGCTGCAGGGGCTTCCAAGCCCACACCTTCTGCCCCCTCGGCGCTTCCCACGGCCTGCTGCGTCTGCGCATAATTTTGATGCAACAGTGCCATGTGGCCGGCCATGTTGCGCAGCGCCTCGCGCGTGGCATCCATGTTGAGCTCACCCCTCTCCTGCGCCTCTTTGAGATATTGTTCCCATTCCGGGTCCATGGACACATTGGCGCCTTGGTCGCGGAGGGCAGCGGCATGCAGGAGCCGCGCGTTGAGGGAGAAGCCGATGCTGGTGCTGAGGGAGGGTTCGGAGTCGAGTTCTGCGTCGTCGGTGTCGGAGGAGGATGAGGAGTCGGGCATTTCGGTGTCGGTATGTTGCTGTTGCTGTTGCTGTTGCTGCTGTGATTGTTGGTGCTGCTGTGATTGTTGTTGCTGCTGTGGTTGTTGTTGCTGCTGTTGCTGTTGCTGTTGCTGTTGAGGTCGCGAAGACATGGTTCCCCTATCAGCAGCGTGCGTCGATGTGCTTGTGTTGTTGGCGAGTTGTTCAATTTCGACTTCAATGTCTGTCTTTACGTTGATACCCTTGCTGTTGTGCGGGTTCCGCTGGCCTCTTCGGTCGACCCATTCCTTGATCTCTACTCCGGTTGTGTCTTCTACCCGTACACCCTCGTCGCGCTCGTATCGCTCACGCGCCCAAAGCGTGCCTTCCCATCTGCAGAATCCTTGTATTTCTGCCTCGGTCAAACCCAGGCGGTCGAATGCTTCGAAGAGGCGTCGGTGGTGCGGAAAGCGGCCTAGACGCTTCCGATGTGGTGCAAAAGCGTAGTTCAGGCCTGGATAGCGCGCTTCGATTGTGTCGAGCGAACCATAGAAATTTGCCGTCTCGATGCGAACTTCGCCCACGAGGTTCTTGGAGAGGTGCGCGCTGAAGGACGGGGGATCTGTGGGTGAAGGTGTCGGGAAGAGGCTGTTGTAGACGAGCACACTAATGGGGTTCTTGCGATGCATGGTCTGCTTGTGCCGTCGAGTTGATGCTGGGTGGGAAAGGGGAGACGCTGCCGGAGTTTGGAGAGAATAGGTGTTGGTTTCGCAAACCACCCCTTTGTCGCTGCCGTTTGCGCAAGCGCGATGTATGTCTCAGAAGTTCCCGGCTCTGTGTGAAGTTTTCCCTGTCTTCAGAACCTTATGTACACTTCGTAAATTGTCGTCTTCGCCGTCGCCGCCGCCGTCGTCGTCGTTGTCGAGGAGGATGCTGACCTAGAAAGGAGTCCAAGGGAAATGAGAATATGGGAGGAAGTCGCAGAAGGATGGCCTTGGAACCTGGAAGGAATCCGCTCGTCCTTTCTCCGCCAGCGAAAAAGGATCGTTGCTGACCTCGGGCGTGACCGCTGTTTTGCCTCTTTCCAGTTCCTGCGCCGCCTAGCCACACTAGTCAGACGGTCAAGAGCGTGGCCCTCTCCGAATGACCCTGGTGCCCTGTCGGGTACAAGTCACAGACACACAGACACACAGACACACACACCTGCACACACCTGCACACACCTGCACACGCACACAGAAGAAAGACACCCCTCTCACCCGTGCCCGCACCCTCTCACAGCCTGCTTGATGGAGGGGGCACGTTCTCGTTGAAAGGCGTTTGCCCTAGGAAGCTGGTGCGCGGGCAGGGAACGAGCCGCTTGAATCGGCTGGGGACTGGCTTGCAGATCGGACGGCCCAGGCACCCCCAGTTGCTGTTGAAAAATGGCTCAGAAAATATGTGTGTGTGTGTGCGTGTATGGGAGAGAGAGGGAGAGAGGGAGAGAGAAAGTAACAGAGAGAAAATAAGTGAGCGAGCTTGGGGGAACGCGCTGTGCTGCGCTGTGACAAGGAAGACGGGCACAGCGACAACAAGTTGCTGCAGATAGCCGCAAGCCGGGCCGTGCAGTTGGGGGAGAAAAGAAGGATGATGCGTGGCGGGTAAGTACAGGAGGAGGACTCGGTACATGCAAATTCACGTGGTACAAAGCCGCCAACGAAGGGGGAGCGAGGCAGCACTGAGGAATGGCAAAGAAACGTCTCCAATGTATGGCAAGGGGGGAGATGGATGGGGGGGAAAGGGGAGCAACAGTGAATGCTACAAGAGTGAATAGATATATACTCTGCCTCCCCTCGACCCAGCTCCTCTTTCCGCCCTCTGATCCTTCACACCGCCAGCATGCAATGCACGTCTCCGACTCATCCCAACTCTTTGCCCAGCCCACCTAGCTACTCTACCCACCAGGTGCACTGAGCAGTCCGTCTTTTTGGACATGCATGCCCTTCCTAAAAGTGCCTGGCACATTGCCCCAAAAGAAAGAAAAGAAAGAAAAAAAAACCCCCTCTCGTCCCCCCCCCCCGGGGCCGCCCTATGCCAGCCCAGACCCTGAATGCTCGCCTGAGACTTGCTTGGGTGCGCTGTCACCGTAGCCATGTAGGTATATGTATGCAGATGAGCTGTAACGCAGGGAAGACGGCCATAGGGATAGGGTCCGCCGTCGACTGGCAGTCTGGCACCGAGTCGTGCACTCGCATTGGACCGGCCAGCCAGCGACCGACATGGGATGATGGGGACGATGGGGGGCTACCTATGGCCCCTATGCCGTGTCTATGCCGCATCCTACTGCTTTTGCAGGCGGGACAAAGACGTACAGGATGACGGCCATCCAATCCTCACCTCCTCTCGGTGCCATGCCCGCAAGGCAGCAAGCCCATACATGTACACACCACCCAGTCAGTATGTACGATCCAGCCCATAGCAGACTATCCTATAGATGCATAGATACATGGAAAGATAGGTAGGTAGATAGATGGGTAGGTAGGCAAGTGTTATTTCTGTATCACCCATAGTGCTTACCTTATACCAAGGTGGTAACTGCCCACCACCATTGGCGACTCCCCTATCCCGGGTTGACTGGGAGACACCCATTTAGGACTAGTAGGGATATCTATATCTAGCCACCTTGGCTTCTTCCTCTATAAATTCTTTAATTAATACTTTTATCACATTAGGTTATAAGCCTAGCTTATCTGCTAGCATACTTAGCTTTATTTACTAGTACCTACTTATATTAATCTCTCTTTATTAGCTTCTACTACTTTAGCTATATATATCGCTAATATTTACTATTATTATAGCTTCCTATTCTAACCTATTTAACGCGTCCCTACTACTATTACTAGCTCTACCTATAGCTTTATTAGAGGTACTACTATCTCTATATCTACTATTACTAGAGATAGATCCTCTCCTAGGACTATTAGCACTACCCCTAATACCTATTATATCTACTAAACCTGCATTTAACTTCTACCTAGACCCTTCCTTATTGCCTAAACTAGGTTCCTAAGGCAAGAACTATCTAGAATAGTAGTTAGCCTAGACTATAGTATTTAGATATATAGGTATTTAGCCTATCCTTGCTAGAAAGAAGCTAAGACTAATACTTCCTTCTAATACTAAGGACTAGGACAAGCAGGATAACAAGGCTTTAGTTATGCTACTATTATTAGTTTACAATAACCTAATAATAAGCGTGGCAAGCTATAACACCTCTCTAGAAGCCTAGAAGTATCTTACTAACTGCTTTAACAGGGATATAGGTAATATATTAATCTTACTCTTTTAGTTGCTTATAAACCTCTACTATTATAATAGAGATAACCTTAGACTACACCTTAATAAATTCTACTAACGCTAGATACGTATAGCTAAACGTTGTATAATATCTATATAGCCTATTATAGTAGTAATACGTAATATATTTAACTTAGATTAGGTTAAGGGCTTATTCTTTTTTACTACTCTACCTAAGATAATAGATAATATTATTAATAACTTATCTACTAGGAACGTGACCGTGTTTAAAGATATTAAACCTAAGATCCTAGATATTTCTAAGAAGTACTTATTAGATGTTGCTAACTCCTTAGCTACTTATATAGCTAGATAAATAGCGTCTAGATAGCTAAACACTAATAGACTGCTATTATCTAGTACCTCTACACTAGAATATACCTAGTGTTAGAAGCATAACCTATTGTTTATTAGTTATATCTATCCTAATTATAAGTATCTTAAGAAGTATAAAGAGAACTAAGCAAAGGGAAAAGCTAGCACTATATTATAGTTATTCTTATTATTAGGCTCTTAGAAGAAGTAGAAAGCAAACAACGCTGCTGTAATTAACCTAGATAAAGACTCTAATAGCTTAACTACTATTATTAGTTACTCTACTTACTATTATATTAACTTAACCACACTACTACTATTATTATTATTACACTTAGTACTTAACTCTAATAGTAAACGTACTAGATTAGTAAGTGCATTTATAGTAATCTATTAACCTACTACTATTAACCCACCTATATAGCTTTTTAATACTAGTGCCTCTAGGCACATATCTAGCTACGCTAATAACTTCCTATCCTTAACACTAAAGATAGGCACTATTACTATAGCTAGCGGTATTAAGCTCCCTATACAAGGAATTAGCATAGTTTAACTTCGCCTGTAGCTCCCTAATAGCTTAACTAATATTATAGTACTAACTAATATACTCTATAGCGCTAAACTCTATAGCACCTACTTATTCTTATAGATATTTATTAGATATAAGGGGTTTAAACTATTTGCTAAAAAAGATAACCTATACCTTATTAGATATAGTTAATACACACTATAGGTAAGATATATATAAGGCCTTATATAGCTCTAGACTAAATAACTACTATTACTATTACTATCTACCTATATACTTATAAGCTTGTCCTCTCCTAATTAAATATTAATAGCCTTAGCCCTAACAACAATAATAACAAAGGCGACAGTAATAGCAATAAAGGCAAAGGAGACACATACACATAGAGGTAAAGGCTTTAGGATATACTAGAATTTCTATAAGGCTATAGGATATCTATTAGTGCTAAACCTATTACGCATCTATACTAATAGATATCTAGTACTAGATAAACCTAAGGATTTTATATATACTATATATTAATAATTAAAGTTAGTGCACTATGTGCTAATATAGGGGACACTACGCTATACCTAGCTACTTAAGCTTATTTATTCTAACCTCTTAGGAAAAATACCTACTTAAAGTATTAGTGGCTTATAGTATTATATCTCCTTTATTAACAACTACACTTAATATTCCTAGATTTAGTTTCTTAAGCTTAAGGCTAACGCACTATAAGCTATTAAGGACTTTATTGCCTATACAAATACTTAATTCTATAACACTAGAGCTATAACTAATAATAGCGTCCTACAACATTCTATTATTAAGACCTTCTATTCTAACAATAGCGGTGAATATATTAGCTATAATCTTTAGAAATTTTTTATAGCTAAAGGAATTATCTATAAATTAACACTACTATACTACTATAAATTAAATAGCGTCCTAGAGCGATTTAACTGCACCCTATTCTAGATTACTTAATATATAATACTATCTAATAATCTACTTTTCTTATAGGCTAAAGTAATAATATTAGTAAATTTTCTTAAGAATATCGCGCTATATTCTTTAGACCTATTGCGACGTACCCTATATAAATAGCTCTTTAGGAAGAAGCTATCTATTTAGCACCTCTAACTATTTAGTATCTAAGGCTATATCTATATTCCTATAGAGGCCTAGAAGCTAGGTACTAAACTCCTACACTACTCTAAAGAAGGTATCTTTGTTAGCTATAGTTATAGTACTAGGACAAGCTATCTCTATATACTACAACGAGCTATTATTATTAAATCCTAGGATATTACCTTTATTCTATAGGTTCCCTAAATATTTTAAACTATTTAAGACTAGGGAATTAAGTATAGTCTATAATATTTAGATATAGAGCTTTAATATTTATAATAGTAGCCTAGGGAATTAGTTATAACGCTCCCTCCTATTAAAGTTCTTAATAATACTAAGCTAGGGGATATAAGTAACCTCCTATCTACACCTTAAACACCTATGCTTAAGTCTAGAGCGACGAACCTACTACATAACCTCTTAAGTAGCCCTAACTATCTCTCTATATAGGCACCGCCTAGGATAGGACTAGACTCCTCCTCTCTAGATGCTTAGAATTTATAAATATCTACTTTAGCCTAGAAGAAACCACGCACAAAAGAGACACCTATATTAACACCTATAGCTATAACTTACATTAAAAGATAAATAAGAAAGCTAGAGCAATACTAGGGATCCTATGCTATAACATAACTATTTACCTTTACTATAACTTATAAAGAGGATACACTAGTATATACCTCTTTATTTTTAATAACTTTCTCTACTACTATAATATTATTAGACACTCCTAGGATATTTATAGAAGTAACAGACAATAATTATGCCACCCTATAGCAGCTAGCTATTAATAAAGAAATCGCTAATTATGCAGAAAATAGTATATAGGAAGTTGTACCCTATTATAAGATACCTCTAGGTGTAAAGCTTATAGGCACTTAATAGGTCTTTAATACTAAGTAAGATAAATCTAGCAATATTATTAAGAGAAAAGCAAGACTTATAGTATAAGGATTTTTACAGCAACTAGGTTTTAACTACAATAATACATACTTACTAGTGGTTAGATATAATAGTCTGCAAATCCTCCTAGTCCTTACTACTCTGTATAGATAGTAGACGCGACAAGTAGACTTTAACGCCGTATACCTAAATAGATATCTTAAGCACAGGATCTATTATTAACTACTACTAGGACTACTATCTAATAGCGCACTATTCCTACTTAAGACTCTCTATAGTCTTAAGTAGTCTAGACATAAATAGTATGCTATCCTATCTAAATAGTTAAAGTCCTAGCATTTCTCCTAGGCTAACTTTAATCCTTATATCTTTATCTTAAGTAATCTTGTCCTTAGGATCTATATAGATAACGTTCTTATAGTTAGTACTTAAGAATAGATTAATATAATACTCTATCTTATAAAGGCTTATTTCTACTTTTAAGACCTAGGATAACTACGTATAATACTAGGGCTTAAAATTAACTATTTTAACAATTATATAGAACTTTACTAATACACTTACATCGTAGCTATCCTTTAACGCTATAGCATAACTAACTATAATAGTTAACACACGCCTATTAACCCTAGCTTATTCCTACCTTGCATACCTACAGACATACTAGTTAATGCAGACTAATAGAAGAAGTTCTAATCTATTATTAGCTCCCTTAACTTTATAGCAGTTATAAGCAGACTAGATATAGCATACACAATTAGCCTGCTTAGTTCCTATAACGCTAATCTATTAGAAGGACATCTTAAGCTAGTATTCTAAGTGTAATAATAAGGCAGAATTGCCTGCCTATTGTTCCATGCCAAGTCTGGTCTAATAAAGGCCCGACTTACTAATGTATATAGAGAACAGCTCGCCTATAGTTAGGATAGGCATGTTCTTCTTATCCTTTTGTATAAGACCTATAGGTGTAGGAATCTTATCCTTTTCTATATAGACGCGCACTCCTATATGCCTTTAAGTTGTATAGGATACCTTTTAGATACCCTACCTACCTAAGTTGTTATATTACAAGAAGAATATTATCCTAGCTAGTAACAGCATTTAAGAATATCGCACTTATTGTTATTTTAAGCTACTAATTTAGTTCTAGTAGCTACCTAACCCTGCAACTCTATAGTTAGAATAGCTATTAG